TCAAATATTTAAATTTTAATAAATATTTATTTAAGAAATATTGATTTTCACAAAAATATTTATTAGTTTATATTTTAGTGCAAATGACGTGCTTATTACTTCAACTCCCATCGGGATTTAGGGGGGTGTATTGGATTAGGATTTTAAAAGACTTTTTTAGTTGAAAAAAGTTCTGTGAATTTTAAAAAATTTTGCAAGATTTTCATGACTTTTAAGATTTTGTAGGATTCCACAAGACTTTCAATCAAGATTTTAATGGATTATGCAAGACTTTTAAGTTAGGATTTTAATGGATTCTGCGAGACTTTGTAGAGTTTCATAAATTTTTGAAATAGGATAAGAATTCAAGATTTTTTTTCATACATTCAAATTTTAAAAAGAGTCAAATATAAAAATAATAAAAAAACAATGATGTCTGGATAAATAAAAATAATATTTTTTCGTATATCATGTCGTTCTAAATAGAATTCACCCACATATTCATAGCTCTACTAGTTTTCCAAACATTAGTATCTTGTCGTTCTTGTTCTTGTGTTTTAATAATAGGCTCAAAATTATGATTTTCATTAACTAGTAATGTTGAAGATGAAGGTTCGTCCATCACTTCAATTGAAAATTCATCATAATGATATTCTTTACGAAGAAAGTTATGTAGTCTCACTGTTTGTAGGGGATTTCGTTCGTAGGTTCTTTTTGTTCGAACTAGCACGAGTTCACATTTCAATTTGTGGTGTTCGTGACATGACAGAATCGAAGACTTTCAGCGACAGAAAATAAAATCGTACAAGCAGCGAATAGAGTTAATTTAGGGTGTTGTTTCAGCACGTCAGAAGATCTATGCTTAGTGTTTCGAGCACTTCAGAAGATCTATGCTGGTTTGGCACATCAGAAGATCTATGCTCACTATTTCGAGCACGTTAGAAGATCTATGCCAGTTTTAGCACTTCAGGAGATCTATGCTTGTTTCAGCACATCAGAAGATCTATGCTAATTGTACAATCAATTTCATGCATATAATAATTAACGTGAATCGAACAAATGACATGTATATTGACTGCAGAAATCATATCCTTCATTAAATGGTAACAGAATTACAATTCGTAAGGATAACGAAACATGTTCAGAGTGACTACACTACACTAGACTAGATTATGCTATGCTACGCTATGCTACGCTACTCCTAAAAAAGGAAAAGAAAAGTGGTCGAGAAATCGTACCCAAAGTTGTCTCGTATGCACGTTGTGCCTTGTGCGCCGGCGAGGAGTGCGTGTGAGAATTGTGGGAATTAGATTTCTGACCCTTTGCTACGAACATGACTCGTTTAATTTATAGACAAAGATTTGGGAAAGGTAACTGTTTCTGACGTGTCCCGGAAATGCATAACTGTCCTAAACTTCCACATAGTGGCTTATTCCTGGGCACGTCTTTGGATAACTTCTGGAACCGCTCATTTAACTTCCCCAAACCGTTCTGCAGCCTTTGACACTTATCCCATGTTACTTCAACCGCTCTTAAATCGTGTCTCCTTTTAAGTTCTCCATTTTGAGAGGTTACGAAGTGTATTCGTGTATGTCCGGATTCTTGGGATTTCGAGTAACCAACGAAAACTATACTTGAATGTTTCCTGATTTTGCTTGTACTTCGAGAGGTTGCGAGGCTGTGAGCCCTTTCCTTGAGCATCCTTCCTGGTTCGAGGATTTCGAGAGTTTCACGAAAAATGTCTTCGCGTATCTCTTGATTCTCTTCAAGCTTCATATGCCTTCTTTAGAAACTTCTCTGCCATTTTTCGATCACCTAAGATTTCGAGCACCCCTGTATTTCGAGTATCTCCGAATTCATTTTCTGGTACTAACACCCACATATGCTAAAAAATATTCTAAACAACATTTCAATTTTTTTATAATTTGTGATTTAAAATATTTTATTTAAATTTTATAAATGATTAAAAAAAATAGTGAGAAAAAAATCATTTTTTATGAAATTTGTTACAGGTACAAAATAATTTTTTAATTATTCACTCGTGTCTTATGTTAATTTTCTTTTTTAAAATATAAAAAATCCTAATTTCATAATATAAAAATTAAAAAAAATAAAATTCATAGTAAAAAAAAATAAAAATTGTTGAGTCATAAAAGGGGAAGGATAATAATAATAAATTTAAGAGAGGGAGAGAGATCACAGTTTGTGCTGAGAGGGTTCTTCCCCCAACTAAGATTCATTCTTATCTCATTCTACTTACAAAAATCCTAACTCAAATTCATCTTTATCATATATATATTAGCTTTCCCTTTTCTTGACGCGTGTTATAAAAAAAGTTAAAATTTCAAGTGTTTTCTGTGTTATATAACTGAGGAACAATCTCAATTAAATAGACCAAAATAGAGCAAGTCAATTAAAGAGAATGGAGAGAAAAATAGAACAAGTTAATAATACTATCATTTACGTATAGAAGTTTCACCAAATAGGAGAATAGAATGGGAACAGTAGTACAATATTATATATAAGTAGTAGTGTAGTATTATTAACAAGAGAAAAAAAAAATGGAGAAGACATGAGCATAGAAAAAAAAAATGAAAAACTCACTTGGAAATTTTTGAAGCACTTGAAAAGTCACTTCAAACAATCCTCCAAAATCTTATGGGTTTGGATGTGATTGTTTTATGAATTTGGTATTTGTAGATACTACTAAAAAGTTCATCAAAATCCCTCTAATATAACAATCCTTTAAAATCCCTATATTTTTTAATACCAATGGATTATTTTTAAGTTGTAAAAAGTCTCAAATGAATACCAATGGATTTTAATGGACTCTTTAAAAAATCTTGAAAATTCTGATTGAATACCACTAGATTGTTTTTAAGTGACATAAAATCCTGATTGAATACCAATAGACTTTTTTACTCAAAAAAAATCTTTTAAAATTCTATGAAATCCTAAACCAATACACCCCCTTAATGTCTTTGGTATTTAATGTCATAATTTTTTTATTTTTTATTTACATCTTTCATTTGAATTTCACGAAATATTTTTAAATTTCAAATTATAAAGTAGTTGCAATTTTTAATTAAAAATAAACTAAAATACTTATTTTGATTCATAAATAAACAATATTTAAATCTTAGATATATATATATATATATATATATATATATTAGAATAATCTTTTTTTAATTTTTACATTTTATCTTCTATTAGATTATTTTCTTCCAATGAGAACTTTTTTTAAATATTTTTCTTAATATTTTATCTCTTTCAATGTATGATTTACATTTTTTTGAATTTATTTTTAATTGATATTTTAATACATTTTCTTCCAATTTATTTTCAACTGATATTTTAATATGTGAAATACACGAGATGTATTTTTATTTTATGTCCAAAAATTATAATAAATAAAATTTTGAATATATATATACATATATATATATTGTATTTTAATTAATATTCATAATAAATAAATATTTTATCATATAAATTATATTTTTATTTTTGATAAATAATTTATAGTGATATAATACTATTTTCAACTATTGATAATTTTTTTAAAAAACATTAAAATTTTGAAACAACAAAAATGATAGATTAAAATAAATATGATGTTAAGAAATTTTCCAATAAATACTTTTGTTGAATAAAAATTACTAAAAGAGCACTTCTAATAAATAAGGATTCCTAAAAACGTCTTTATTTAAAACAAATATTCCAATTTATATAAAGAGGTAGGGATGACAACCAGGCGAGTCGGTTACAAGTTTCACGATACTTGTCCCCGTCCCCACGACTCAAACTCATTACCATCCTCATACACGTACCTGTCACGTATATAGTTTTCGTCTCATCCTTATCCCTGTCGTGTATTGGGTATACCTGTACCTGTCATTTTTTTTACAAAAAAAATACAAAATATTTTTAAATTATTTTTTCATTATATTATAATTATAATTAGGTTATTTCTCTATTTCATATTTTACTCAAGAGACTTCTTAATAATTAAACAACTATAAATATTTCACATTATAATAAATAATCACACATAATTAAATATTAAAATTCTTTAACACAATTAAATCGGGGGTAAATATATTTAACCGGAGATGGGGACAATGATGGGGACGGGGACAGATACGAGACAGGAATGGGTACGGGACGGGTAAGTATATACCCATACCCGATTTAATATATCAAATTTTACCTGTACCTGTACTCATATCCGGTCAAACCGGGTATTTCTCGTCAAAGTCGAGATGAGATACAAATTAATTTGTCATTCCTATAGAGAGGGATATTTTTAAAGGAAATAATCAACAGCTAAAAATAACTGATAAAATAAATGGTCTATCATATATTTAAAATATAATTTGTTTTTTCAACATATTATATTTTATATATTCAAAAGTATTTATTTATTATAAATTGGATCAAGTGTTTTTAGTCCTTTTTTTTTTTAATTTCACTGAGTTCCTAAAAATAATTGATTTAAAACATTGCATAGTTTGATGTAGTCCTTCATACTAGAAATTGTTTACCTAAATAACTAAAGAAAAATTCTCATCATCAGACCTTGCTAAAGAGCATAAAACCATGATTTAAAATTTTACTTATTGTAGCATGAGCAACCTTACACAAACCACATAATCCAACAAAAGACAACACCTCTACGAAGTGGCGGCGTTCATGTAAAAACGAATTGATCATAACTTGTTTCAAGAACAAATAATACTACTTTTTTTATTATTATTATTATCAACACTATTGTGAAGCCCATTTTGCAAAAGACTTGGTAACCCTCACAAAAAATGTCTAAGAATTATGTGGTCAAGTTGAACGGTTATAGGCATTCCTCAAAATCTCATTCTAAAAGAGATTAGCTTTGAGAAGAAAAAAAATATAAAAAAACAAACAGAACCAGCATGACCTTTTAAATTTTTGTTTAAATGCACAGTAAAATGAAGGCTTTAAAGATCGCAGGGATAGGAAAGATGAAAACCGCCAGCACGCAGTGGACACGAATTTCCGTCTAAGTTGATGTGTAAAACTATGCTTTGAACTTTACAACTTTACATCATTCATGTACAAGGGTTGCGAGGGAGACATGGAAGGAACAAGGACAAGTAACACGAGATACGAAGGAGACCTTCCTCATCTATTACCCCTTCAGACAACCTCGAAACTAGGAACAATACAGGAAAACTATAAAACTAAAAATCGAGACAAAATGATTGAAATGAACTATTGACAACTAGAGGGAACTGAGGTAATCTTTTATTATTGACAAAATGGGGTTTCCAAAAGGATACTCTTCCAATGTCTGAAACATGATTCCATCCATCCGAGCTTGAACTCCTTCAGAAAATGCTAATCCCTGTAGCAGTTCCTTAATGGTTCTGTCAGCTCCAACGAGGGAATTCCCTACGCCTAATAAAATCTCGGGTAGAGAAGGGCTAGGTCTTGTGATCTCCACAAGAGTAACCTGGCAAAGCTCAAGCATGATCACCATGTTATGCATCTATACTTCTCAAGTACAACATCCATACTGCAAAAGTTAAAAGGTCTCAAACCAACCTGATCGTCTTGAGGTATATTAGCCTTCATTTTTGCTATGGCAATAGCTCGAGAAAGGCCACCAATAGCATCAACTAAACCATGTGAAGCTGCATCGTAACCGGTCCAAACCCTTCCCTGTGCAACTTCCTCCATCTTTTCTACCTATTGACATTAAAACTAGCTGTGAGCCTGTTACAAAGATCTGCAAGGATGAACAAAAAGCATGGGAATTAGCTTGTTAAATTTAAAACATACAGCCATTGATCTGGACAAAGCTGCCTTGTCTCGAAATTGTTTATAAGCATGCTGAGCAGATTTGGCAAATAGCTCTGCTTCATCTGGCCTGTATCAAAACAAGAAAATTGAAAATGTTCATATTTGTCTATCACAGAAGTCAAATATGTAGTTAGTCTGATACAGCTTACAACAGAAAAATAACAACCTTGTAGAGGCCATCTATAAAATATGTAATGGCGAAAAGAAATTTAGTTCATAAATGGCGGTAGAAACCCTGGGCTTATTATTCAGTGCCTAGATGGTAAAAGATAGTGAGACTGTTCAATGTTCAGTGGGTTTTCCTAGCAATAATTGCTCTCAAATATCAAGGAACATTCAGGGATGCTTTGATCCTTCTTTCCAGAGAACATGGAAAGGGAACCCTACAATTGCTACCACTGTCAAGTGTCAACTACATCCATCAGTACACGGCAATCCATGCCAGATATTATCTGAAGTCCATCACTGTCAATTTCTTAGCTGAGTTAACATTCCCAATAATTGGAGTGAAGAATTAAAGATATTATGGGATCCAACTAAAGCTTATCTTGATATGGCCCTTTCCTCACCAAAATGGGGATTTTTTTAGTGATTGCAGAAAGCCAATGCAGGTTGGCTGAACTAGTTCAAAGGTTTGTAGATGAAATTTTGCACCCCCAAGTGCCAGGTTTGAATTCCCCTTTGGTTAGAAATCTTGCTCGGTGGTCATCCCTCCCAAGGGAGATCCCTAACAGAAAGAGACCTCAGTTAAGTATGCCTCCATGAGGGAAAACTCTGAGTGAACATGCTGAAGGCAGTCCAACATGCCTTTGGGAATCCCACATGTGACTGGTACACTGATTGGTAGTACTGGAGTAACCCGTCCTTATTGTCAGTTTTTAATCTTTTAATTCACCAAAAATAAATGTAACAAAGAAAAGAAAATAGCAAAATACTGTAGCAACTAATGCCCATCAAGAGAGAGTGCCTAACTGTTGAGATATCAAATGGCATATTACACTGCCTAATCTATTATTCTCTCCTTATCCACTAGAATCTCAGCACAAGGAAATGAAGAAAATATATTGCCTGAAAGGACGTTGTTCAGCAGCAAGAAGCTCTGCATATCTTCCCCTTGATATAATTTCTTTGTTAAAGCCTATCTTTTCGTACAGTTTCCCCAGGTTAAATTTTCCTGCAAAAATGAAAGTTAATTCAATAATATCATAAATTTACAGGTTACCAAATAGAAGAAAAAAAATGTAGCACTGGCTGTTCATGATATTACAATTAATGTCTTATCTCATTATGTCAGGAGCTTAAATGAATAATTTTCTTTCAGCTACAATTTCAAGTGGTTAAATTTAATTAACGTTCAAACAATAACACACTTATACCTTTTTCATCATTAAAACAGGTTCAAAATGCTAAAATATCATAAGAATAATCAGTGAAAATGTTGAATAGATTTACTTAATATTGCTTATAATGTGACAGGTCAATTTTGTCCATATAGAGATTTATAACATATGTTGGATGTCATAGTATTGACATTAATGTGTATAAAGGCAAATTTCATCTTAAATAGGTTATTTTACAAAAGCACTGAACATAGTTTCCTTTAGATAGTATCATAGTAAACAAATATTCTGTACTGTTTACATTTTCTAATACTTCCTTTCCTATTTTTAGCGAAGTTTTTATCAATAACTAGACTGGAGAAATTTCAATCAAAAGAAAAATAGTTACAGGGCCACAATAATGACCAAGTAAGACTACATTATATCTAGTGATATCTTATGCATTTGTCTATGGCAAAAGGAAAAAAAGGGTTAATATTGTTTTTTGTCCCGATAAAATTCTTAATTTTTGGTTTTGGCCTTGACTTTTAAAACCCTCACATTTTCTAAATACCCAAACTTCCGTCCCTTTGTCTAAGTCTGTTAGGGTTACTGTCCAGTTACTTTATGATGATCATAATCTGTCAAACAAGGGACAAAGTCCATGTGTTCCATGACTAGGACGCCTATTAGAAAGATCTTTAAGTAACTGTAAAGTAACTTAACAGATTTAGATTGAGGAACAACAATTGGGGATTTTAAAAGTTGGGAAAAATCCAACAACTCACAATTTTACATGGATAAAACAACCATTACTCCAAAAAAAAATTAAAATACAGAGATTACTTTTGCTTAGTGCCTGTTTTAAGAGTTTCCTAATACTTGAATCCAGGACTACCCCTTAGATTGTAATCTTGTAACACAAATACAGATGAGAACAGATGTTTCAAATATTCCATTATGTGCATGGAGATTTTTTTTTTAAAAAAAATTATTTTTAGCTTCAGTTAATTATATCTTCCAGCCTTTCTTTCAACTACTGAAAAAGGAAAACACTGTTTCACCTGTGACCACTCCAATTGAACCAGTTAAGGTAAGACTTTCAGCGACAATAGCATCAGCTCCCATTGCCATATAGTAGCCTCCACTTGCTGCCACATCAGACATTGAAGCAACAACTGGTTTTGAAGCGGCCAAAAGCCGGATTTCTCTCCACATCCTACAGATCATGACACCAGATAAAGAACATTTTAGGCACCAGAATATGATCACCTGAACATGCAAATCAACAAAATACTTGGCATAAAAATGTCATCCATGGCAAAAATTGGAGATACATTTCAAATTGAAGTAGACCATTACATAAAGGATTTGATTAACTCCTCTCAAATAAAAAATTATTGTTGTTAACTAAAAAGTTATTCAATCAAGCTTTTAAAATATATACACCTACAATAGCTGAAATTGGACTGCATGGAAGAGAGTGTCGCATAATTATTTGAAAACCAATTCTAGTGGAACATTTAAGCTAGCTCTGCAAGTATACTGCTACATAGCTTCAGATTTTTGCACTGCCTATATATGGGAGATAAATAAGAAATGGCTGCTGGTGGAACTTTTCCCTTAGCATTAAAAATCTTGCCACTGCCTGGCATTCTTAGACATTAAGTTTAGTATTTTTAATATTATTATATGGTTAAAATTTTCTTATAAAAGGCCATCACTTGTTGGTGTATCAATTTTGCTTATAAAAGTTCATCACCTGTATGTTAAATGAGTAATAATTATGAGTGTTATTTATTATGGGAAAACATATAAAAAAAAAGGCTTCAATTAAAAATAAATCAATGATGTATCAGGGATTGTATTATGCCATGGTACAAATCAGATCTAGACCTATCCCACCTATAAATCAAACCAATGCAAAGAAAATCAATAATTTCGTATTAAATTACATTAAAACAGCAGTTTAAAACATAATTGAAATAGTGGGGAAATTTTACCAGAACTTACAAATCAGAAGCAAGAGCATCACCTCCAGGACTGTCAATTCTGATGACGGCAGCCTTAAATTTTTTTGACTCTGAGTGGAAATGAACACTCGTGAGTGAATTAAAATAATGAATAACAACACTGTCAAAGGTTGCATTTTTGGGGAACAGCACCATTGATGGACACTAAAAAACATGATTATACTTATGTTTACGCTGCTAAAAGTGAATAGATAAGTTGCATTGCAGTTGCATACACAAGTTACTGAACCGAACAAAACTAAACCCTATAATATACATCCTGGAACACATGAACAAAGGGCTCAGCAAGTCATATCTTAACTTATTTCCTCTGGCTGAAGGATCTCTCTTTGCCTCTGTCAGAGATTTAGAGATCCTGTAAATGATATATTCTCGGTTCTTGCAACTATATTCTTTTTGTTCTTACATTTGTCAATTTATGCTGCAGTATTGGGAAGAAAATCATACTTTAAAACCATTTTGGAAGCAAAAGTTGCAAAAGAAGTGTAGTCTCCTGGCTTCCTTCCCATTTATCATAGGGACATTAGTGAAAAATACTACTCTAGAAACAAAGATATCTATGAAGCATTAACAACAGCTTCCAATTCCATCCATAATCAATATAAATAGCCTGATAATATTCTATCAAATAAGTGTCATTTTTAATCAGCCTCTTGCATTGAAATTTTAAAGGGAAATTTGCAAGGTCAAGTTTACCTCTGACAGTGCGAATCTTCTCAATGAACTTCTCTGCAATTATGCCTGAGCTAGAGACACTTAATTGACTCTCTACACGACTAATACTCCCGGATGCTCGGATAATGGCTATAAGTTCTTTTCCACCTGGTATTCCAACAGTCCATTTCCTAACTCGGGAGTATTTCCTGTATTTAATTGATGCAAGAAATATTAAGGTAAAATATATTATTTTTTATATTTTATTTATCATATGGAGCATCTGTTAGCAACAAAAGTAGGAAAGAAAAAGGAAGCAATAGTATGTCATCCGTAAACTCTAATTTACATACATGCATGTTTGTTAAAGATTAATTCTGGGAATAATCACTTTTTATTTATTTATTTATTGCTTTTAAAAGCTCTCTCAAAAAGCTACAAATAACAGAAATGATTATTCTCCAAAATAAGTTATTCCATACAAGCATAAGCCACAAAAATATCTATTGACCAAACACCAATTTGGGAAAGATTAATTCTACAAAAATAACTATTTTTTCTTGTTAAAAGTTCTCTCGAGAAGGTACAAATGCTGGCCGAATGCCTGAACAAAAAGAAGACATTTCAACCGAAATTTTTTAGTGCAGTATATATTTATTAATGTTGCCTGCAACGTAAATAAAAATTAATTGTAGATTTGTGTTTCCTAAGTTTAATATTAAAGGGTGTTTGAGTAAAGACTAAAGATCTTAATTAAGCATACAAGAGCTTAAAACTTCAGAGTTTATTCACATGTTTGATTGTGAAGCTTAATAAAATAAGCTCAAAAGAGCTTATAGAAAGGTCACAAGTTTCTTTTATAATCTCAAATAATGTCCAAGGAATCTCTTCCAAATTCCCCCTAAAATTAATCAATATAATTCCATATTGTATATGTATCAAACTCAATATTTTAAAATTACACATGTACCGGATGTGCTAGTAACCAACAGGAAAACTGTTTTACATTTGGAATATTACCTTACAATAACATGAATCAAATCTTGAAAGAAAATTCCAAAATCAAAGTAGCTAATGAACTATCATTCTTTTTACATATTAGAATGCTAGAGTTGCAACAACATAATTTGAAAGATGGTATAATGAATAACACCAGCACCATGCCAAACATATCAACAATTAGTAACTTAATGTCTAGTAACATCCCCTTTGAAGCAAAGAGGTGGAGAGAACCTTGGTTTCCAGAATAATCCTCAAATCAGGGTGAAAAAAGAAAGATAGCCATTGATATTAATGATTCTTTTAAAGGGAAGTTTGATTTGGACTTATTTGATTGTAGAAAATATTACCACCCCTTGAACAATAGTCTAAATTGCTAACATTGAAAGTAACGTGATGATTTGGGAATGAAACCTGTAAGAGGCAGAAGGTGTATTTTATGAAAATATGGAATAAGAATTTCCCTAGTTAGATATTTCTAAAGTAAAATTTTAGCCAATTGAAATAAATAGCATAATCCATGGTACATTCTCAAAAGCATATATAAAAATTTCTACCTGTAATCCACCATTGGCAGATCTTTATCTGATTTCACTCCAAGTTTCTCCTTCAACATGGCAATAATCTGCAAAACATTTAATGTTTCTTATCCTTTTAACCCTTTGTTTCATATTCACATCCTTCAAAACATTTATTTACCAGCATAAATTATCAACATATATGAATACAGCCAACTGTGAAGACAGTAAAACCCACACTAGTTAAATGAAGAAGCAATAAAAATAACAAACTTTTAGTGAGCAGGACAAAAGTTCTTTATATTGAGGAATTTTTTCATTAAAAAATATCACCACTAATCATTGATGAGATTCCATTTTACTCTATTATTATATTAATAAAGATGACAAACTACATGTATGAATAGTCTATCATATAACATAATTGTTAGTCACAGTGGAAATACAGTGATCCTAGGTGAACTTTACCAATGGCATTACAAGTTCCGAACCATAAGTCTGCCACTATGAAGAGGTCTTTAACTAGTCACCACCCCTAGCTGAGGGTTAGCCTCACAACTATGCCTATGGGAGTAGCAATCGAAGATCAAATTGGTTGCTCATAAAACAAAACTTAGGAATAACTACGTACTTCATCATCATAGATTATATTTGATATGAGTCCCTCTTCTTTCAGCTTGTCTACTTGATAAACACCTTCATTTATGAATTTCTCAATATCTTCTCTTCTTTTTCCTGTATTAAAGTTCAGAAACCCACAAGTTAATATATTGGTTAAAGATTCAACAAAAACATCAAATGCAAATGTACCTTTGGCAGAAGAGACTTTATCTAGCCAATTTGTATAGATGTTGTCAAGCAATGCAGTCAGCATCTCACAATTTTCTTCAGACATGGATCTTCGAGCTAGTTGATCTCCTGCACTTTTGTATTTTCCAATCCTTTCCACTTGTGGTTCAATTCCAATGTTATCTAAAATACCTGAAAATAATTATTAAAATGATATCAAATACACATATTTATACTTATTTATGGCCACCATAGTATTTAAAAAATTAAAATGATTTATCAATATTCAATCATTTCCTGACATGCATCTGCAGCATTTGCATGACAGCACAGAACATTTTTCCAGAACTAAGAAAATATTAGAGACATTGAGCATTATAATAATGTGAGAAATTAACATAGCATGACTTTCATTATTCTATTGATGTAATAGAAAGGCATAACATATTAGTACCAGACTTTTATTCAGGCTTTAATATTAAGACATGTACCAAAATTCTCTAAACTTCATAGAAAAGGAAATTTACCAGTAAGTCCCTTCATAGGATCTATGTTACATAATACACACAAAATTGCTTTTCCAAGGGAACAACTAATAGGAGACCTTTTGGGAGGTTGGAAATCTCTCAGCCCCCCCCCC